AGCAGGGAGTCCGATGTGGGACTCAATCCCGGGACTCCAGGATCATGACCTGAGCCGAAGGCAGTCGCTTAACCAACTGAGCCACCCAGGCGCCCCCTACTTGTCATTTTAATCAGGCTTACTAAGTTTGATTTACTAAGTTTACTAACGCATCTACTGGATATACTAAATTTGTTAATGTATCTACTAGAAGACTATTTAAAATTAACTGTTTAGTTCTCCATCTATATAAATTATGAATTGATTATATATTAAAAGGTGCCCAACTATAAGGCCAACATCCTTATATTTAGCCCAAATATACCTGCCAGTAAAAAGGGGGTTCCTTACATTTAAGACCTTACATATCTGTAACATTACAAGATTCCCAACTTAGTTTTGACTAAATAGGAACAAAACAAAAACAAACACCAGCTAATTTTGAAGGCTTACAGAATGCAACTGACAAACCACCCCCACCCCGCCCCGCTTTTAAGTAGGCTCCACGCCCAGTGAGGAGCCAAATGCAGGGCCCGAACTCCTATCCCTGAGATCAAGACCTGAGCTGAGACCAAGAGTCCGACACAACCAATGGAGCTACACAGGAGCCCCTCCCTTTTCTCCAAGGAAAGGTGAGAGTGTGAACAAACTTAGCACAGATTTGGTCATTATTCCTGAGGGTATGACTTCATGGTTCCAAACCTGTGGAGGCTGCCAGAAGTAAGCCTTTTAGAAGATCACTTTAGAAGGCAGTATTTTAAAAGAGCTTATTGTGAAAAATCATTTAAAACATACACCTACAAAATAGAAAAACAGCTGTACACTTTTATAAATAATTAACTTGCGGTATAGCAAAAATGTTCCAATGAAAGTTTCCAAAGTCCAGTAGCTCCCCCCAATTTAGACAGAAATAAAAATTATGTGCTTACATAAACAGGTAACTCAATAAGCAAGTCAACAGAGATTGCCATTTTAAGTAGGATAAAATGATTTTTCAAATGTTCTAATGTAAACACATTCCCTAAAACAGTGTTATTTTTATATACAATGTATGGACAGGAAACTAACACATTAAATATTTCAAGTAACCATCTGACTTTCATCTCCATCCTGAGAAGTTCACACAATTCAGTTGGGTCTTCCACAAAAAAACCAATCCCCCCTTCTTTGGTAATGTTCTTTTGGGGAATGCAGGACATTGCCTTACCTTACAGATTGTTTTATATTTATTTAAGCACTGACAGCAAAATCTACCTGAACTTGACAATCCTTTACTAAATTTAACATTTTATGTCTACTTAATTAAGGTTAATCATCGACTTTTCAAGGAAGACAGGGCTGGGCATCTTTATGCAGCAGTTAAAGAAGTCGTCTTTTTTTTGCAAAACAATGAAGTATTATTCTTCCAGTTTCCAAAATTTTACAATCTTCACTATCAGTGACTTTCCAGAACTATTATATATGACAGAAATAACATAAATAAGTGAAGTTGCTTTACTGTCTTACCAGCTTTGTTCCAAATGTCTTCACTACAACTGCTGTGGAGAACAGCAGACAGAAATGACTATCATCTCAAGAATCGGAACTCATAAATCCTCCCCTAGCAGAAAATATCTCAGCATACACACTGTCAGGTCACAGTTTTCTCTCAACTTCTTAGATATTTAATTTAAATGATGTCAAGGCAAAATTCCATGTGCAAAAAATATTGTTATTACCTTAATAAGACTAAAAGTATATATATTTGCAAATGGAAAACCTACTGAGTAAACAGTTTTGTAACAGCATTTCATAGTCAATGTTTAATTATTTCTGTCTATATTTTAGCTCTTAATTTCATGAGGCTCTTTGAAAAAAGACGAAGGAGCACGTGGGTGGCTCAGTCGGTTGCACATCAGACTCTTAATCTCAGAATCCTGAGATGGAGCCCCACATTGGGCTCCGTGCTCAGCTAACAGTCTGTCTGAGATTGTCTCCCTCTCCCTCTGCCCTTCCCCCAGTACATCTCTCTCACTAAAATAAATAAATTTCTTTAAAAAAAAAAAAAACAAAACAAAACCCACACACACAACACTAAAACTGGGGTGCCCAGGTGGCTCAGTCAGCTAAGCATCTAACTCCTGATTTCAGCCCAGATCGTGATCTCTGGGTCATGAGACTGAGCCCAGCGTGGAGCCTGTTTAGGATTCTCTTTCTCCCTTCCTACTCCCTCTAAAAAAATAAAATTAAAAAAATAAAAAGACTAGAACTGATATTCTACAAAGAACAGATACACTTCTATTAAAAAAACTTAATTGTTAATATCACATCAACTTACCAATTAAAATAACTTTTTAACCTACATCAATCAACATTACACAGAGCAAGAACTGTCGTCTATTTGAATTATATCTTACCTCTATCCCATCAAAACACAGTTTGATAACTGGTACAAATGCCTCTTCAACAGCCTGTAAGAAAATTAAGTAAGTTCAGTGTCTCTCAAACTACAGATCAGACCTATACTAGTTTTAGTACTTTTAAGTGAATGAGACATTTGAAATTGTTTAAACATAATTTAGCATAACGCCTGACACAGACTAGGTTCTTAACAACTAGCTTTAAGACACCAGGCTCTTGAATCAGATAAACCTAGGTTCAAATCCTTGATTTCTGCCACTCAGATGTAATCGTGGCCACACTGCTTAATATTTATTCTTTTTGCCTTATTTCCTACTCTGAACATGAGATGAAATTTATTTTAGGCTTGTTAAGAATAAAATGCAAGCATACATGTTAAGCCCTTGAAAGGGTCTGGCAAATTGCAAGAGTTCAATAAATGACGGCTAGACCATAAAATTTGCTCAATTTCACTAATTTTTATAAACTCCTCCCCTTTCACCCCAAACATTTACGCACTCTTAAATCTTTTACTTCTTCCTGTAATTTCAACTTATCATAGAATGAGGTGAAAAAGTCACTTCGATCAACATGTCTTGGTGCAACACACAACGCATCAATATCGGCACCTAAAAAAAATTAAGCCCATCAACCACTAATTACTATTACAAGAAAATTATTTTGCATCTTATCATGGCAGTACTTGATGTTGAGAATCTGTTAACATTATACTAGCGAGCCTCTAAAAATGTGCCCTTCCCCTTAAAAAACATTACTGGTCAGGATAGGAAAAACATGATACTAATTGACGGGATATTTTTTTCCTGCAGCATCCTCTATTTGTAGTGGCCCAGGTGACCTGGGAGTCAGAGAAAGGTGACTCAGATAGGACTTTTATGTTAAAGAGAGGGAACTATTCAAGAATATACCCAACATTTTGATGTCATTGTCATAGCCAAAACCAAAAAAGTGGTTTTTTTCCCCACACATTATGTGGTAGTGCTTACAGGTGTCTATCTGGCCCCTAAATGGGACCTACAGAATAAACTCCAAAAAGGACCACTGGCAAGAATCCAAAGAGGCACACCATGGTAAGATATTTGTTACTAATTTAGTGCTTGATAGGAGGCCAGCCTTGAGTGCATAGGGGGAACACAACAAAAATGACTTCAATCAATAACTGGGATCATAAAAGGGAGAGATCAATGTGGAATCAGGTCAACACAGTCATTTCCCTAGAAGACTCAATAGCTAAGGCACTACTCTGAAGGTTGTATATTTAGCATATACGCAAAAGGGAGAAGAGCATACAGTGCACAGGACACATCAAAAGCAAATGCACTAACTACTACTGGCACAGAGCAGTGGGAGATGCAGAGGAGGAAGAATGCCAGAACAAACAGAACACTATCCTGGCAGATACTTTTTAACAAGGAAGTCAGTGGTTAATGGCTGAAGAATCCTAGTTCTGCCAAGAGATGGCTGGGAGAAACTGTTCAAGCCTACTGTCTCGGTAAGTCTCAGACTTCTATTTGTTACATGAGAATAAGAGAACTGAGGAATAAATGAGATAATGAAGACCAAAAGCTTATTATTAGCTCAGTGCCCAGCAAAAAAAAGTCCAATAAATGTTCTCTGCCGTGGTAACATTTTCACTGTGTATTTATTTGCATAAGATAAGTACAAAGCAAGGAAATACTGACAGTAATCACCAATGGCTGCAGATACACTGTTGTGGTTTGGTTTTTGCTCAACTGTATTTTACAACTATTAAAAAAAGCACGAGGAAAAGAAAATCCACAGGTCTTTTTAAGAGGCTTGCATTCATTTTTGTTCTGATTTCCTGACTTGATATTCTTCAGGTAGAGGAAATGATACAGACAGCAGCACTGTCCGAAAGAGCTCTCCACCGGGGAAAAAAGTTCTCTCTCTGCACTTTGCTGCACAGTAACCACTAGCCGCCATGTTACTGATATAAAAATGCGACTACTTCTATTGAGGCACTGACTTACCTCTTAAGCTGAAGTACAGTTGACATACAATGTTGTATTAGCCTCAGGTTACAACACAGTGATTCCACAAGTCTATACACTATGTTCTGCTCACCACTCTAAGTGCAGTATACAAGGTCGTTAACATACTACTGACTATATTCCCTATGCTGCACAGAACTGCCTTTTCTAATTTACTTAATACCATATTGGTCAGTGCAGGTTTAGAAGACATCTTTTTTATCTTCTTAACCAACTTTAGGCTCCTTGAAGTATTCTATCTTCCACACAAACTCACTAAGCTGTATGCTATGCAAGTAACTGCGATGAATGGGTCGTTATGATTTTTAAGAACTAAAAAGAGTATTCCTTCTCAAGATAATTAAAACAGTATTTACCTTTTGTATGTACTCCTAATCTGTAAGATCCAAATGTAAAAATTTTTCCTCCAACATTTTCAATTACAGATTGTGGAAGATTCTGTTTAAACAAACAAGAAATGGATATTCTATCAGTGGAGAACAAAAGAGATTATTTCAAATAGCACTATACAATAATTTAAAAAAAAATAAGAATTCAGTGCAAATTTATGGAGGGTAAACAAACTCTGTAAGCTCTACCAAATACCAGGCCTTCATATATCAACCAATTTTGAAATAAAAGCAATTTCCAACTTTTAGTGAACGTTCTTTAGTGACCCACACCATTTTAGAATTTTGCCACATTTCTGGAAACTGCTATAAAAGAGGACTATCGTACAGGAGAGTATGTGATTCCATAGGAGTAATGTTAGAAGCAGATTTTATTCATGACCAATATGCTGCACATATCATGAATGTTAGACTATAACAAAAACACATATTCTGATTGCTTAAAAAATTACATTCAATGAGTATACTGAATATTCCACAGTACATTAGATATAATTTTACCATATCAAAAGTGACTTTAAGGCCAATACTGCTACAAAAATAGTTTAGATTTCAAAAAGGCTTTGGCGGGATGACTTTGAACAGAACTAAAACTTACTGATAGTTTCTTAGAGTAGAAACACCAAGAAAAAGGAGAAAGGAAAGCATTTAAAAATCATCTTCCTGACCCTGGTACTACTGTAAAGTACTATGGTGAGTACTTAATGCCACTGGTGGTAAGGATGATACCTGTCCAAACAAAAAACAATTTTAATGTGTGCCTGGTCAATGTTTCTCTTCACTTTCTAATTCCTCAGTAAAGTCTTATTCAGTACCAAAACACCAATCACTCCTCCTCACCTCCCCCAAGTAACATAAATGAAAGTGTTACTTCATACTACAAAAACCTTAAAAATAAATTGTAAAGATTCAGGCACTCCCTTGTTTTTTGAGGGCACATTTAATCATCACTTATACAAAAAGGACCATCTAGATATATGATATTACATTTGTCTTCCTACATTTAGAAATCTAAAAACCTCACTTGCAAAGTTGGCCTGGTTATTTAAATTAAGTCAGCAAGATGTTGCAGGAATAGGCCTACAAAGGGAGTTAGGACGAAACTACCTGAGATCAATGATCTACGGACTTTTCTAGTAAAACAAATCTTTTGGATACGTGCACTCTAAACAACTGTCCACTATAGTGTGAAATATATGTAAGTATATATAATGAAATACAGCTAGCTTGGCTGAGGAACTGGATATTTAATTTTAGATCATTTAAACAGAAACAGCCACATGTCATTAATGGCTACTGTATATGAGCACACGTTTACACATTAGTATGTTTATAGCTATTTTAATAATTTTAACCCAGAAATTAAGATTCCTTAATTCAGGTCACAGAAAAATAAATTGCAAAATCTTTTTTTTTAAGTCTCAGAATATTAGACAGCAAACAAGACAACTGAAGTAAAATTCAAATTTTATATAATTCCCCCCCCCCAAATACCATAAATAAATTCATTGGAACTATCTATTAATCACTGCTTCTCAACCAGGGATGACTCTACTCCTCCAGGAACAAACAGCAATGTATGGAGACATTTTTGGTCATAATTTGGAGAGAGAGAGGGCAAGGGCAGTGCATCTAGTAAAAGAGGGCCAGGGATGTGTTTTGCTTAAGATCTTACGATGCACAGGATAACACCCTAAAAAAGAATTATCTGATCCCAAAATATCAACAGTGTCAACATCAAGAAATCCTGTATCAAGTCTTAAAACTAACCAGCTGAAGAAGAAATTCTCTCTACAAAAGGCAGACACAGAAGATCAAAATGTATGAAGCCTAACCTCAGTCCCTTTCTCTAATCAACTTACTACTTACAGTTAGGCTATAAAGAAAAGGACACTGATAAATCCGAATAGGAATGAGCATTACTTTCATTCATCCAAACACATTTTCTTACCCTCAGTAAAACCAGCAGGAAGAACTGTATCAAGTATTACTGGTTAAAGAAACTTACTGAAGTAAATACCTGAAACAAAACTACGATGAGGCAGTACTCACATTTCACATTAAGTAAATCTAAGTTTTGTCTTTGTCTACTTGACTATGGCTTTAAACTTAAACATTTAAAAAATGCCATTAAAACAAGGCTGTATTTCCTATAGAAGGTTAAGGAAAGCCCAAGTTCAATAAATGAGTAAAAAATACTTAAACTTGGGACATCTGCTGCTCAGCTCAAAAAGAACTTTCTTTCTAAAATCTCATTCATGGGGCGCCTGGATGGCACAGTTGGTTAAGGGTCCGACTCTTGATTTCGGCTCAGGTCGTGATCTCAGGGTCCTGGAATCAAGCTGCACATCCAGGCTCCGCAGGTGTATGCTTGAGATTCTCTCTCTCCCTCTGCACCACCCCCTTCCCCCCTCTCTCTAAAATAAATTTTTATAAATAAATAAATAAATCGCATTCATATCAGGAATTCTATCAATGAGAAACATGCAGTACACCGGGTCCCCCGTTTAAAACACTCCCATTGCTGAAGTTTTAATCAGTTGCTTAAAATATATATATGCTATTTTAAGAAAATATAAATTTGACTAAAACCAAAAGACTTTCTTTGTTAATCCCCTCTCTCAAGTTTTCAATCCTTGGTTCTCTTTCCATCAATTTTTCAGTTGTATTATAAATTAAATATGCCTTTTATACGGTCCTGGGGAAACTGCCACTATTTAAGCAATTTTTTCAAAGTAATCTCTACCCCCAACATGGGGCTCAAACTTACAACCCCAAGATCAATTGTTGCACCCTCTACAGACTGAGCCAGCCAGGCGCCCCTATGCAATTTTTAAAAATGGGCCAAATGAATTCCACACACAACTCTAAGAATACATTTCCATTACCAGAAGCCCAGTCATAGATTCATCAACTGTATGTATAATTTTTCAGAATAAAGTTTAGGAACTCAGAGAATATTATAAAAAACTAAACAGATACTCAGTTTGAGAGTCTAGTACCTGAAAACCTAAAAATTGTTCATTGTCGTAGGATTGCTTAAAAGGTAGCAAGATTCTCAAATATTTAATATACATTTTTAAAGCACCTCTTCAGGGAAATATCTATTATTTCTGTGAAGCGTAAGTAATTACTGAGTTTCAGCTTTAAATATTGCAACAGGGCGCCTGGGTGGCTCAGTCGTTAAGCGTCTGCCTTCGGCTCAGGTCATGATCCCAGAGTCCTGGGATCGAGTCCCACATTGGGATCCCTGCTCGGCAGGAAGTCTGCTTCTCCCTCTCCCACTCCCCCTGCTTGTATTCCCTCTCTCGCTGTCTCTCTGTTGAAAAATAAATAAAATCTTTAAACAAATAAATACATATATACATACATACTGCAACAAAAAAGTACTCATAAAATCACTGAATTCAGTTGTTTTCCCTGCTTTCAAAATAACTAGAAACAAAATTCTGTTATCAAATAGTCTAAAACAGACTTTGCATTAAAGACTCTAAATCCACTCTAATAAGAACAGCTTACTTAAGACTGCTGCTGTTCAGTTGGCAAATTATTTCATATACAAATAAGTCACCTTACCTTGCTTTCACTGATTTCTCGTATCCACTCTTTTACCAGGTTATTTAATTTCCCCAAAATTAAAATCCTGTTGATAGAGCAAATATCAATCAAGTATCAAGTTGTTTCATTACTAATTAAAATGAAAATCAGTTCTCAATAGGTGGTTCCCTAAATTTCAACCAGTTTTTAAGTTATCAGAAAGTAAGTACACAGTAGTTTACTATATGTAGGCACTGTTACACTGGGAAAGGCATTCTTTAGCTGAGTAAGCATTCCCCTTCTGACAATTCTGTAATGTAATAACCAAAAGCATCAAAAATCAAAAGGGAATTAAAATTCATTGTAGAAAAAAAGTTTTTTCTAAGCATCGCTCTTGTTCAATACAGATTTCAGGGAATAATTCTGACTGAGTAGATAATGCCTCAAAAATTAGTTTATTACACTGATAAAAAATTATTAAAAGAAAAATATGTATGTGTATATTCACCTGCGCTGCAGTTCCTCTTCCTCTTCAAAAACCCCAAAGGGCTTCAGAGTCTCAATTAGTTTCTGTGTAAGCAGGCAGTCAGTCTCCTTGGGGGCTGCTAAGCTGATAGGAGAGGTAATGCCATAATGCTTCTGGGGCGGCTGTGTTTGTTGTGATCCCTGCGTTGTAACTGGACTACAAACAAAATTAGATAAAATTACTGCCAAAGAATTTCTACAATTTGAAACAAATCGTTTGACTAGAAAAACTGCTTTAGTAAAATGCATTTCTAAACACAGCTGGGGGGCGCCTGGTGGCTCAGTTGGTTAAGCGACTGCCTTCAGCTCAGGTCATGATCCTGGAGTCCCAGGATCAAGTCCAGCATCCCACATCCCCACATCCTGCATCCAGCTCCCTGTGGGGAGTCTGCTTCTTCCTCTGACCCTCCCCCTCTTCATGTGCTCTCTCTCTCTCTCAAATAAAGAAATAAATAAATCTTAAACACAGTTGGTTTCCTGCCATATCCAAAAAGACTCCTTTCAAAAGACATCTTACAGCAAAAAGTAACCAACCAAAAGCAAGTGACCAAAAAGAAAACTGTAACTCTTCCCACTCCAACGATTTTAACTTTATCATTACCTAAATATCTAAATAAACTATAAGAATCCAGATCAAATATAATGGTAGAGAAAACACAACTTAGAATATGGTGAACTGAGAAACTACTTCTTGAAAAGGAGCCAAAATCTGTTATACTGTTATTTCTAAAGCAATGATAAACACACTATAAACACTATTTAACCAATACAAGAGATTCCCCACAAACAGAACTTAATATCTGACTCACAGTGAATAAAATTCATAAAATACAGAGCAAATAACAAAGATAACTTGCAGAATGCGGGGCACTGTAGTCTCACACTTAAGCTTATTACACATTTCTGGTGGGAGATTCGCACTTCAACAGTGATGCTAGTCTAAAACGTTTTTCCTCCCCCATTTTAAGAGAAATTCCAGATTTTTACAATCAGTAGGACTTTACTGTAACTGGTTAAATACAAAAAGGCATGGCATACTTGAAATGCTTTAGAGGAAATTAATTTGACTCGAGTATTTTTTTGATGAAACTCATTCATGTTTCTCATCCTCTTTGTTAAAATAATTTTAAGTCAATGGACAAGACCTCTAAAGAGAAGCAGCACAATTATTATATAAAAACTAACAAGTCAAATACCATAAAAAATGAAGAATGGGCTAAGAACCTATTTATTTGTCCCAAATCTGTTCCTTAAAAAATTGAAGTGTTTGTTTTACACACACACACCTACTTTTCTTTCCAAGTATGTATTTTTTTTTACACTGAAGAGGAAAAAAAAAATTGAAGTTCAATAATCTACTTAAGCAATAACATGCCAAATCCAAGAATCCTATGCAGGGAAGTCCCATTATGCATTTAAAACCTATCCACTGGATTCTGGTTTATACAGTGACTGCTGGACAGTGTTCGATATTTTGTCTTCTATTATCAACATAGAACTAAGAATGCCAGGAAAGCCATACTGCTTGTTTCTAAGTTAGCCAATGGTCTGTATATTCTCTAGTCAATGTTTCCTGGTCCAGTTATGCACTCTCTCAATTTTAATCCAGGTTAGTAAATAAATGTCAGGTATATTATCTGTTTCAGCAATTAATTCATGTCAGATCCTTCTTCCTACTCCTGTAACTAAACTGCAAAGCTATACAAAGGCTATGTTAATTCCCAGAGCTGGGGATCCACATGAACACAAAGCACTGTCTCAGACTAAATATCTTCCATTAATGTTCTATTTTTCACATTTATGTAGCATCTTCTATGATTAAAATATACAAATTAACCTAAGTGTAAATGCATTCATGATGTCTTCGTTAGAACATCTTTTTGTCAATAAACAGTTATCATCAGGTTCCATAAAAGTGACATCAAAAATGCAGCCCTAGGGCCGCCTGGGTGGCTCAGTCGGTTAAGCGTCTGCCTTCGGCTCAGGTCATGATCCCAGGGTCCTGGGATCAGCCCCGCGTGGCAGAGCCCCGCATGGCATCAGGCTCCCTGCTCAGTGGGGAACCTGCTTCTCCCTCTCCCTGCCACTCCCCCTGCTTGTGCTCTCTCTCTCAAATAAATAAAATCTTTTTTTTTTT